GAAATTATGTAGAGAAGACCTTCTGTCACGCATTGTAATAAATTGCTGAAAAAAATTAGATGATTATTTGAAAAAAATATTATGCCAATCAAGAGTGTTTGTAAATTTATTTACTAATTCCTTGTTAATATTAGTAAAGACAAAACTGCTGTGTCGTACTGTTGGTTTTGCGGAAATAGCAACTGGAAAGATACAATGAATTAATGCATGGCGCTAGTCTTTCTTGAAAATGCAAGTGGTAAGAAACAAAGAATTAATACATTGTCACTAACAAAGAGGTCCTTTTTAAGAGCAACAAAATGAGGGGCAAAGTCATAGGAAACTACTAGATCTAAAATGCAATTATTTGTAGATGGAGAGCGCACCAGTTGGGACTAGCTGGGAAAAATGACAATATCTTGGACGGGCTGGAATCTAAATAGACAGATATTGGAAACTCAGTCTATTTCAGGCAGGTTATATTACCCACTGATTATATTAACATCGAACGCAGCTCCCGAAATTAATTTAAGAATATCACAGTATTGTGAATCAGCACTAGCACAAGAGTCTGGGGGATTGTAGATACAACCAATAATTGCCTTCCTTTGCGGCGAGAGAATAACAGATGCAAAGGAAAAGTCTCCCGTGAATGAGCAGACATCCCGGTAATCGGGAGAGTACCTTAGGTAAGATTTATGATAAAGAAGACAACCGCCCCCATGACCTGTCGTGCGGACTTGACGGTAAAAATCAAAGTCATCTATAAAAAGGGCAGAGTTAGGAATCAGTGAATGGGCCTAAGATTCTATGCATATAATATCAGGCGTCATTTCGAGAGCATTGAATCTGATTTGGGCCATCTTGTCTATAACAGACCTGGCATTCGATAATATAAGATCTAATGTGTTTCGAATAGCAAGGCTATTGCCGACGGCATTTAGAGGGAAAAATTTGGAGGCGGATATGCAAGCTGTGAATTGCTGATGCTTGGAGAATTAGCACCAGTTAGTCCATATTCATTGACGTGCGCAGAGTCGGAAAGAGAAGACTGGGCATGAGACCTAAAGGTTGTGGGAGTATACTTATCGAGCATTGAAATGCGAAGCGAGGTAGGACATTGGCCTGAGGGAGTACAGTAGTTCGGCGGTGGAAATATAGACTGTGTCATAAAAGTAAAGATTTCTGTCAATCTGGTGTGAACCAAAAAAAAAAAAATAAACATTGCAGTGCTCAGTCATGGTGGTTGACGACGACCACCAACCTCAACTAAATATTGAAGGTCACTCCATAAATGTGCCCAGGGTTATAAAGGGTCTGGGCATATCATACTCCAAGAGTCTCACTCTCTCGGAGCACTGTGCCTTGATAGTCTCCAAAGCACGCAGAACGACCGGGTTTATCCTAAGAAATTTTAAAACTTGGGACATTAGAATGCGCCTTTTCAACATGTACGTTAGACCTGGTCTAGAATACCGTTCGTTTTCATTTAGCCTCATGCGTGCTACTGAGCGAAAGAAAATAGAATCCGTTCAACACTTTTTTACTAAGAGAATTTTAACCCCAGAACACCGACATTTGTCTTACCAAGAACGTTGCCGGCTTACAGGCCTCGATCCTTTATGGTTCCGTAGATTACAAAAGGGACTATTTTTGCTATTTAAACTCTTATATAATCACACATTTAACCCGCTCACCTCTTTAAGACATCATATCCACCCACGATGTAACAGTCACCGTGAGGTCTTTTTATTTCTGCCTCTCGCACGTACTGTTAAATATCGTCGGTTCTTTTCTGTAAATGCAATTGCTTTTTGGAATAAACTACCCATGAGTGTGAAAACTCTGCAAAATTATCCTTTATTTAAGAGAACTATTACTCGATTTTTGCATTCAGAAAAGCTCCCACAAATTTTGGGTGCTGAATCTACTGATCGACTGTACCGTAGCGATGGCGTTTGTGGTCTCTGAACACTATGGCCGGTCTCACCAGCTGTTCCTCAACGCCTCTACTTTGACTATCCCCAACGTCATGAAAGGAAGTTGACGTCCGATGATCTCCGATACCGTGCAACCTCTCCCCTTCTTGACGGTCGATATTCTCCCACCGCCGGCTGTTTTTTCTCCTGAGCCCTCCAAACCACAAAAACCACCATCAACTATATTTTTATCCCTTAATCTCAGGAGTTTTTTTTCACTGCCGGTCGGATTTATGTTTAATCGCTTCCCTTGAGAATGCCTGTAAATTGGCATTAAATACAAAAAAAATTTAAAAAATATAATTTAAAAAAATTTATAAAAAAATTTACTAATAAATTTTTCCAGTCGACCATGGGTGCGTTGAATTCTCCGGTTATCAGTACCTCCTGGTTTTGTGACACCTCTTTAATTAACCCATATATCGCCACGTCAACCCCAGTAGTTTGATTGGACGGCCTGTATACGGTCAGGATATTCAGATTAAGTGCGCCATGCATCCTCAGTTTTAAGCACATTGATTCACAGTCGCGGAAGCAATCAGTTTTGTGTTCTAACGCGATGATTCCTCTCTTGACGTAGACCGCTAGGCCCCCTCCTTCTTATGCAGTCCGTCCTGGGAAAAAAGATGGTATCCATTGAATGTAATTTCGGCATCCAAGACTTCAGTCTGAAACCAAGTCTCTGTGATAGAAATGACATACGGCTGCTATCTTATATCCACACTTTCAGCTCATCTAGCATCTGCCCATGAAGACATCGGATAAGGGGGTCCAGATGGCGAGTCCCATGTAATGCCGTCTGTTTGTCTATGGATTTGGTTCTCAAAAACGGATTGCACATTCAGTGTACATACTAGTAATAGTTCCTTAAGTGTGTTCGTCGAAATCCTTGTTCTCTGCTTATTTGTTGATAGAAGTTCGTAGATGTAAGCAGTTGTCTCGGCGACCGGACCTTTTGTAAGAAAATGGTGAGACATCTAGCGAGAACATCAAGATACAGCTAAGGCTAATATCTTTGCCAACGTCGAAGGATTCTTAGGTATTTCGATAACTACCTGGTGATAGGTGGTGCTGTACGGTTAAAATGATTTGTTAGTGATATCTAAGGACAATTAAATATTTCAACCGAACGTGTCTTTTTATCGGGGTCACTAATAACTATTCAGTTTAGAATCTACGCAGAACCTAGGCAGAGGTTTAGAATAATCTATGCTGAATCTGCGCCGACGTTGTCGCATATTTCTAATCGGAATCTGCCCCGAGGCTCGGCACAGAATCGACGCAGAAAATGCCAAACTGGCTTTTAAATCGAGCAGAGCCCTCCCTCCTCTTTACTCATTAACCCCTCTACTACCGTTCCCTCCTTTTCATGCCCACAATGCAAATATAGTTTCGCGGTAACAAAAGGAATGTAGGCGACGAAAGGTGTTGTTGGTTACTAAATTTTTCTAAAGATATCTCGCAATGTACAGGAAAAATAGCGATAATGTGCAAAATAAAGTACAACATAATGTCTCCTGAAAAATTTAAATTATGTCCAATGATATGTACAAGTAAGCCCTTTTACGGATGTGATGAGGTGTAGCGGCCGAGGACGTCAAGGGTGGCACACCCCAAAGTAGGAAACGCTGAGAAGAGTTCCTGGTGGAGATCGATCCGAACAGAACTGTAAGCATCTCTTGATACTCATTCCCACGCAGGAAAGGAAGGTACGTCGAGTAGGGAATATAATATAATGTAACGAGATGGGCACGGGAAATGTGTATGATGATGATTAATGTATATGTAGAATGAATTACAACAGTGGAATAACTTGTCTGTATGGCGGGACGACCCTGACATACTAGCTAAACAGACAGTGGGATACAGCGCTGTGGGCAGCTGAAGGGAAGGACCGAAGGGGAAACCGACGTTGAGTGAGGGAGAGCGACGAGAACGGCGGGACGTTGTTGGAGGGTATTCGGCGGTAGACAGAGGAAGGGACAGCGGCCGTCTTCACCGGCACACAGTTATACCATCGCCGCCCAGGTTCGCGCCAAAAGTCCCACAGCATTCAAACAACCCTGTTCAAATCAAGAGACCTTAGATCGGGACCGGACGGTCAAGGGTGAGGAGTACAAATCTTCGTCTGCCTCGTCTAAAATTAAATAGGATGTAAGTCAAATCTGTGTCAACGTTATTCACCTCTTCGGGCTGTTCAGAGGATTAACGAGAAAAAGGAATGTGACACGCTAATCTTGAACTCTTTCCTTTGAGTTACAGACAGGTACGTGGGGACCTGATAAAATCTTTCCGCATCGTGCGCAATCAGGGCTGCTGCCTCGCGTTTGGAGACTTCTTCGAGTTGGCGACTACGACTAACCTGAGAGGCCATCCACTCAAACTGCATGTGGCTGGTGCCCGGCTGGACACCCGAAAGTTCTTCTTCTCCAACAGAGTGGTTACAGCTTGGAATGCCTTGCCTGAGGATGTTGTTATGTCGGGCTCGGTAGATACTTCTAAATGGAGACTAGATCACCATTGTAGCGCGCACCACAATAACGCCGGACTACGGCCACCTTGACAGTCAACGTTGAGATTTTAGTATTATAACGATGCTACTACCAACATTTAAGTAATATATGTTTATGTAATTTATTAAGCTCGGGCCACGTCGCACACCGCAGTTCGCATTCACCACGATGCCTGTAGACCAAACAATTTTCCTTCTTTTCCCGTATCTTAAGTGTGTCTCAACTGTCCGCTGTATTAGATCAACAAAGCAAGTTAATGTGACCCTAAATTCTGTCAACGCATGACATTCTGTGTTTATCTGTACAGTTTTTGCTATTCCCCTCGCGTTTCTTTCATGTTACTTCCTTTCTATTTCCGCTATATATATCCTCTGCATGTAACCAATAGGGATTTCAAAGGTACACACCTACTTTCCCTGAAATATACTGGTACTAATTCTGATACCGGCATGAATTTTAATAGGCCTAAATTCATGCGGTGAAGTCAACGATTCATTCTGGGGCGGTAACGTAGTGACCTCTGTGCATAATGATGTCTCCCTTATCAGTTGTTGTCATGTACAGTGAGTCATTGTCTAAATTTATAATTCAGTAAGATGGAAAACAACATCCAATTATCATTAAAAAGGAGCAAACGAGTGAAGTCACGGTCGGCGATATCATGAAACAGATAACGAATGAAATGCATATACCAGTCCAGAATCAACGATTGATTCATAGAGGAAAGTCGCTTATAGACCCCGATGCTAGCATCAGCTCACTTCACATAGCAGACGGGGCGAAAATCATGCTTCTTGGCTCGGTTAGCAAGACAATCATTTTTCTATGTACCACTAGGTCGAAGTTGCTGACCCGAAGGAAATTATGAAACTCGATGAGCTTGAGAAGACTTTGAGCCAGCGTAACGAGGAACTGGACAGAGCAAAGCAAACGTTTCAGACCACAGTAGGTTTCTTTGAATTCTCCCGATTCTACCGCACCTTGCGTTTGTAGTACTTAATCGTTTTTAGAAAATTAATCTCTAGTCGAATTCCGTTTCTCGTAAAAGTAGAATATGTATGCAGTGTAGCGAGCACTTCTTAAGCCCAAATGATTTTCGACGGCGACTTCAAAAAGTCTGAATTCCATAGTTTTTAAAATGTTTCTCGCTGGCGTTGATTGTGCAACCCCTCCCGTCAGCCCATATTCATCATCCATGTAAGCCTGTGCATTTCCTCATGGAACGTATGTTGCGGTAGATCAGTTGGTTTACAATGTTTTACTCGGTTATCGGAATGCGCTTAGTATAAGGTGCTGGGGCACAGTATATAGAACGTGAATAAGGCGTTGGACATCGACCAATCAATGGAAAAAAAACCGGCTTGAGCCCTCTACAGTTATGGTAACACTTACGAAAATAATTTTACGCAAAACAGGTAAATTACTGGGTTTCAAGATACTAAATACTTAAGTCGGAATTGGTGCGCACGACAGCTTATGTAAATACGACACAGTGAGCCGAATTGTGGCGCCCGCGTATTTGGAGATCTATGATAAAGTAAAAGGTTTAAATTACTTTACAGACGTTATGTCAAGATGGTAGTTTCTTTATGAGGTTGTGCACATTATTTTTGCGCCCACACTGCCGATGTAGCGTTTTTCGGTGGCCGGACATCAGCTTCTGGTCCACTGTTTATAACCACCCTTTGCCATTCAATCGAAGGAAAATCCCTAGAGGAGTAAAATAAGAAAGTATATTGCCTGCGACCGAGTTGCTTATTGTAAATTTAATGAACTACAGCTATTTCGCTAAATCCACAGTGAACGGGGTGTTTAGGTCCTTTTTATTTAATCCCCAGACTCCTATACCCACACAGTGGGCAGGAATTCAGCGTATTCCAGTAGAGTGAGTATTATGACCCGAATGAGAGCCGGCTCGAAAATAAGTACTTCATTACCCATCGGCGAACCCGAAGCCCTTTCTCTTGTCTAAGCTCGCCTTATTGATTTGTTCGCCTGGGCGCTCTTGAATATTCCGGCCTGTCAAATATTTGATCCACCGCACGCGTAAGCAAAAGCAGCACGTGTGCCCTGGACTGGATTTAAGTGCAGGCAGCAGGCCTTGCCATACCGCTTACGTGCTCAAATAATTATGCCACCATTCAGAGTCAAATAGTAGTCCGTCTGGTGCGTGATAACCTGGGACTGTATTATTATTGGCCAATCACAGCTGATAAGAATTGTTCCTACGTAAGATTTACTAAAGTTATAATTGATTTGAAGCTGGCAAGGAAGTCCAAGTAGTTGAAGTCGGATGGATTGTACTTCATTCCTTTACTTAGCAGATCCTATCCGGTTGTCGTTAGGACTTGTGATGATAAGTTTTTGACGTTCTTTTGTTATGTAGAATTATTACAACTTTTTCCAAAAATGACCGTCCATTTTTATCTAAAATGCTCGCCTTTTTAGTCGCTCTAGTTCTGAGCTGTGTGATGGTCTCCTGTAGAGTTTCGAATAACTGAATAGGAAGTCGGTCTATGCAAAACTTCAAACAAACTTATTTACCTCGACAAGCCAATGAGTCGGGTTGCGCCCATTCCTGAGTGACTAAATACCCTATCTGCAGCGACAGAGAATGGCAGGTGGCACTGATGAACTTCGGTTCGCTGAAGTGCGTATGACCCATCTGGTAGACCCCAATGGTGGATCAGCTGCGCCAGCTCTGTGTGCACTTGTGTCTCCGGTCCCAGCTGGTGATCAAGGTTATGGTTGGCCACAAGAAGGCAAACAAGCCTGAAATAGTTCTGTATCAATCTATCCCCCAGACTCTGTCTTCTCCCCTCTGCTATCATAGCTTGGCCGGATTTGGCCCGGCTGGTGGTTGTTTGTTCGTGACCCCTGTCATCGATATGAAGCCTGTTTGCTTCGGGAAGCCAGTAGATCGGTGTGTGCCCATCCCTGAGTGGATATTTTACATATATAATGTTAGAAGGGCGCTCACCGACCGCGTTACGTCACGCACTTGTTTCTTTGTGCCTTTGGGCTCGATCTCCAGCTCTGCCAATAGCCACATAGTGGCTAGTGGTATCGACAGAAAAACACTGCCGACAATGACAAGGGAGCCAGGAGTGACTATTTCTGGCTTATTAGTCGTCATCAGCAAGCTGTATTCACCCTCGGTTTTTTTGCCCCTCTTTGAAACCCGGTATGCTTGAGTCAGAGATAAGGTCATGTGTGGCACGCGCATAGGATCTGTTTAGATTTGTAAGCTACTGCGCCCAAACCGTCTCCGTTCGTCGTGACTTATTCTTGTCATTGGAGTGCGGTGGCAGAAAGAGCTTGAGGCAGAAAGAGCCCACCTCTGTTTCACTAGACAAGTTTTCGCGCATGTCGTCATTGAGCGCTGGGCACATTGGTGGATCTAGTCGTTTGCAGCGACTGAACTCGTTTTTGCGTGTACGTATTGAAGGTTTGAAAGTTCACGGTTGGCGGTTTGGCGGGCTGTGGAAAAATATAGCAATGGTATGATAGAGGGGCGTTCGCCTATCGTTTTTCCACGGAACTCACTCGTTCCGTTGTGCCTTAGGACTCTCTATCAAGTACTACCTGATTTCAAGCCGTTTTGAGACAACGGTTACAAAGCGAATGCTCGTAGTCTCGAGACTTTCGATAGTTAATGCGTTTTCTAGGATGGAGGTTTCCGCATAGGCTATTTGCTGATTAAACGTTTTTCCATGTAACTCATCGAACGTCAAAGCATATCTGCTTTTCTTCACAATAGCAAACCTCGGACTGCTTAGCATGTCGTTCGCTCCTGAAGACTCTGGTCGGCATTTCCGAGCGCTGCATGACTGGTCTGGAGAGGGCCGACTCGGTCTATCTGCCGACTGCTGACGAAAAACAACGAAATCGGCGGAAGGCCCTTGTGAACTCCTTTCAGGTGAGATATACAACCATTGAAATTTAGGAGAACCAATTTGACAGGTGTGAAATTCTTACTTTTCTCATAATCCAGTCGTTCTCGAGAATGGACTATTTACGCGCACTCCCGCTCCATGGCTCTTAAAGCAGTTTCGATTATAATTATAGCGGCCGTCCGTATTTACTGTGAGGTAGATAAGCTAGGCCCGTCCAGTGAAGCGTTAGTCTTACGTAACATGCCATTGATTCACACAGAACGGCAAAGGAGAATCCATCACAGGAAATTGCCACATGCCATCCTCGACTAGCTCCCCGCTGGAGAGTTTTTAGGGTTTTTCGACATTTTTGGTCCCTACTTGTTCTTTCTTAAATCAATCTCTGTTGGTCTTATGTCATCTTCACTTCTCCCTTTCGCAGGTCATCCTCAATGAGGTAGAAAAGATGCAGACAGAGCTTGAAAAGGAGACCAAAACGGCGGCGATAATTGAGATTAACAAATAGGGTTTATCACCTGCCCATTCCTTTGGCTTTTATTTTTCCCTCCCCCCGGGTGCAGGCTCAGCACTGCCCCAAATACGTTTATTTTTATATCCACAAAGTCTTTTTGAATTTGATTCAGGAACCTAGTTGCGGGTCTTTCCAGATCCTCACACACGCCGGTTTTTACGGGGTGTTAGTCGGGATTCTTAGCTTCGCCAACTTCGTGGTTTATGGACTTCCATAAAAGGCTGCAGTTGTAGTCCGCAAGAATATCCCGGACGTGGTCAGTACTGCGCTCAAAAGGGATTCAGCGTAAGCTGCCTCTTCCCCTACCTGGCGATGGCTGAGAAGTAACGGATAACTCTCCTAAATCGAAGCAGTAGCAACTCGGTACCTCGAGATGCGCACATCAGTGGGCGTCGTGGCGTTATGCTCTGCAGCGAGAAGTGGTCATGGTCCTTTTCGGATGAAGTGGTGAATACGATGTCCAGACAGGTATCAGTTGAATGTTTGTTTGCCAAATGTTCGCGGAATCGCATCGAGAATCCGTCCAAAATCGTACTAATTTGATGGGGATCGATAACTTTCGTCACAAGTAGCAGTGAATGACGGAGCTCCGCCATCGCTCTGTGGCGGCTAGTCTGCTCATCAGAATGTTCGTTTATGGGGGGACCTCCACCTCAGTAGTCGAGGTTGTATATCGCGAAAGTAGAACGGTGGACGTAGGCTGCCAACAACCTCGTTCGCAGTTTGACGGGTATCACTTCCCATGAGTACCATTAGTTTACAAGTGTTGGGGATTGCAGTTGTTGGACATTGATTATGTGGCGACTTATAAGTTTTCCGTGGGTAGCGGCGCCCAGCAGCTACCAGGTTTATTTGTTTGAAGTTTGCCCAAACACTGATTTTTTGAGACCTGACAGCACGGCAACAATGCCAGTGTTAAATGCTTAATAGTACTTTGCGATCGGGTCACAGTGCGGCATCTTCCACTGTGGGCCTGCACAGACGAAGACCGGCTGCCGCAATGACTATCCAGTTTTCCGATGGGCTGGTGAATTACGAAACCACCCCAGCGGGTGCTACTTTCCTCTCTCTCCCCGTTGCCTGCGTCAAGATCCAACCAATTTAGTACTAAAGTGAATTCTCCTGACAACGGGGATGCAACCGTGCAGCACTTGTACCTAGTAAGTACCCTTTAGAAATGGGGAAACCCCGTCTCTGAGACCTGAAGATAAATAGGTGACCGTCTCCAACTAGCATTGCCTGAGGCGCCCCGAGCGAGTAAGCTATCATGATCGCCCTGATAGTGAGATGTACAGTCCAATTTCCTCCAGGTGTAGGATGGGCGAGGAAAGCAGTTGACAGGGGAATGGCATAAGTGGATAGCCATCTGAGAATGTGGCCGGCCCCGGTGCCAGTCCCCCTAGTCTAGGACCTCGTTAGTTACACTAACAGCATGTGTTCCCAACGCCAGCGTCGTCACGAGCAAAGGTTATGGCCGGTTAACGCGGTTCTAGGACCTCAGTTGCTGATAATCTTTTACATCTTCGCTTGGCTCAGCCGACACAAATGCGTCCCTCGCATGCTACCAAATTGGCGCAGCAGACTCTGCGGTCTGCAGTGAAAAGTCAAGACAGGAGGGGCATAGTAATGTGGCTTTTTAAGAAGGGATTTAAACAGAGACAATGAGTGTTTGCGAGTTCTTTTTTTCCTGTAGATGTCGTAACTGCCTAGTCCCACCGCGAACGCTTGCGTTTGCCGTCAGGTGGTTTGGCGGACGCAGGAGCCTGAGGTGCCCGGAAAGTCTGGTCACCCTCACTGGAAACGGCGCTCTGTTGGCCAAGCAGCTCAGGGTGCGTGTACCGTGTGGCCTCAATACCCGCGGAGATAAACCTTCGTTGGTACTGTGCGGCGAATGCCGCCTTCATTGCACTCAAGCGGTCCGTCTGGTGGGCTATAATCGGTAACAGAAAACAATTGACATTAGGTATGTTGGGAAGTATGCATACGAGATAGGCGGCCCCGGTGTCAGCCATAAGGTGGGACCCTTCTGATATGGCAAGTAAACAGATGGGTTTGACTTGCAGGATGGAACAACAAGGGCTACTTGAAACTCGGACATGTCCAGACAGACGGACTCTACTACTCCCAGTGGAAAAATAATCTAGATAGTGGAATACCAGAGGGCTGAGAGAGGCGCGTGAGGCCGACTCATTGCAATATTTTCTATCTAAACACCTTAAACATAATTCGAAAATTGACGCTTCACCAATCAGATTGGAGGTCGGAACTTTCTTGTTTCGCTGGTCCTTGCTAACGGTCGCATGGTGACTAGTAAAGCGACGAAGGCGTTTAAAAACAAAACCGGCGATGTTTAGTTACAGTTTATTTCGCGATGTGATGAGAAATGGGGAAAAGTATCGTCAGCGCGGATATTCACAGCAACAGGTATGTGAGCTAATTGAGTGGACACTTTCAGATACGTTTGGTACTCATTCTGCAACGTTCGACGAATAAAGCCTGGGCCCTGACTTTGGATTCATCCGACTGAAGCGCGCGCTCTTCTGAGCATTAAATTCCCCCCTAATTGACAGCCCCAGCATGCAGCTTCCCGCTCCCAATGACCAATGGTTCGCGAGCATTTACCTGGTATTGCGCAGGCGGGCGCCACAATTTAAATAGGCGTGCAGGAACACACAGAGCGGAGAGGAACGCAGATCAACCCTCCCCCCCGCAAGAGTGCGCTACAGACCAACAATATGTCGGGACTTTGTGTCTCATTGAAGCAGGCGGCACCCATAATTACACCAAAAGTATGTCAAAGCAGTTTAAAACAAGGCATAAGAGTTCCAGTCCACATTATCTAAGAAATCCCGGTTTAGATTTACAACCTCTAGGGGGTGGGTCAAGGGGGTATTTTACGAATGCGAAACAATGAGGACACCTTCGGAATCTCATGCAAGCAGAAGGACGAAAAGCGGAATGAGATCCATTTCCTTTTACCAAAACGAACACTGCAGGGAAGACACTCGCATGCTGAAAATGCATGCACGCTTTTTGCAAGCTAAAAGACGGCAAAACGTGGCCTAATGCAAATCGTTGCTTCGGTAGAAATGGAAAAATACCTTGGACGTGTTCATGGTCCATCGCCCGCATAGTGATAAGTAGGCTGGTGTTGTGCATCCCAAAATGTTAATGTCGATTCATGTACACAGCAGCTGGCATGTGGTCAAATAATGCAATCTGAAGGTCAGGCGGACAGGCCGTAGTTAGAAAATAATGTCGAAAGATAATAGAGGCGCAGAGGGAGGTCCAGGCGGTCGTTTCTGGCCTATTTGATGTCCCCAGTCAACCATACTTCAGTGTCAATCACAAGCCTGACTCCAACGAAGGCGGAAACGTGGGTAGGTAAGATGATAGTTGGTAGCCGTGCCCACAGACTCTACAATGGTACCTACTGGATCGATTTCAGTAGGTGTGATTGTGTTCTCATTATGATTATAAATTCACGCGCACGCTGTATTACCAGTATCACATTCATTTTAGAGGTAACATCCTGGACAGATATGCACCGGTAACGATGAAAATGAGGCTTGCCCTATGTCAAATTTCATTAGAAGAGGTAGTTGACAACCGTGCCCACATAGTCCACAATTGTACCTACTGGCTTGGTTTCAGTCGCTATAATTACGTTCTCATTATGCTTCTAAATTTGCATGTGTGCTGTATTACCTGTACCAGAGTCATTGTGGAGGTGCTATCCTGGGCAACGGTAACGATGACAATGCGGCTTTCCCTACATTTACTTTCATAAGAAGAGGTAGCTCTTGACTGCCCTGCTCATTGTCGAGGTACTATCGTGGGCGGATGGGCACCGGTAACGATGCCAATGGGGCTTACCCTTTATCTACTTTCATTACGAGAGGTAGTTTTCGACTGCCTCATTATTTGCGGATTTTCTCGTCCGCCCAAACAAATTTTTCAAACGAAAGTCTTACTAGGCTTTTGTTGTGGCGTTCCGCGTGCCGCTGCTTGACTCTCGTGTCCTTCTGTCCATTATGTTGGATGGAGTTCTATCGCTTACACTGCGGAATGACCTTCAGACCAGTTACCTTCTTCCCATTGGTTATTCGCCTTCACTTGCTTTTCTTTGCAACCTGAGGCTAGGATGAATTTACTCCACACACCGTTCAAAGTCTCTTTGCTCATTTCCATACCTTCCTTGTATTTTTCACCTAATCTGAATTAGGCTTCCACTTTACCAGGAGCGTCAATTCCTAGCATATACTACAATCGCCAATCACCCGTCCACTCAATTGTCCCAACCGTATAGCCCCTATTACCACCGGTCCCGATTGACAGGCAGCTTTGAGTTTGCGGTGTCAGTAGGGCTACCAAGTATCATCTAACCCGTGGGTATTCAGCAGCTAAGTCTTTATGGATTGGTAGACGCCACCCCTGGGGGCCTTGCAAAACGACCCGTCGTTTTGAACTGTACTAATCCCTATTAAGTATTTACGAAGGATTACACGGGAATACCTACTTTGCTGCACGAATTCGACGGGGTAGTGCATACACAAACAGGCAAATTTCGAACCTAAACGAACCTGGAGACGCTGCTACTGTGGCAGGTCCCGCTGAGGGGGTTGAGATGGGCCCTCTTGAGGCCGGTGCTGACGGTGCCGTCGTCGCCGCCGCCACCGGAGAGGGCGTTTCAAGGGAGCCGAGACCAGCCCTCTGATCACGTTTCTCTCGGGGCTGGAAACCGATGCCAGCACGTGGATTTGCAGCAGAGCCACCACCCCCGCTGCGGTTGTTTGCGAACCAGACACACTTCAGGGCCACATCGAGGAGGCGCTGGGGGACGACCTGGTTCGCCAACTCCAGATGGCGTACGAGATGCGCTGCAAAGTCGGGCGGGTCGCGACCCACCACGAAGAGTGTGTACGCGGTGCCCTTCACACCCGCACGACCTGTACGGCCGACTCGATGGGTGTGGGTGTCGATGTCACGAGCCA